ATGACGATGATAATGATGATGATGATGATGATGATGACGAGGATGTAAACTATAAAGATTACGTGAAAGACAACAACACTGTTGTGCAACACTAATGTTACATCCCGACAAATATGAACAGAAAACAAACAAACAGACACATATGGGATAACTTTTTCAGCAGCTATCCACAAACAACAATTTTTCACTTCAGAATCACTTCAGTCTTTGTTCTATAAACTTTTCATCAAACAATACAACAAAGTAAACTAAAAAATTTCTATTTTTACCTTATAATCACGTTCCCCATCAGCGTACTGTAATAATTTTAGTTTCCTCTGTTGCAAATGTTCAATTAAGGAATCAATTTGAACTGCAACTGTCTCCTTAAACTCGGTACAATTTGTCTGCAAAAAAACTTTCAGTATTAGATTTAATAAACAAATATTTGCATCTTATAATGAATTATTCAGCAAGCTTTTTTTAGAACTGTTCTCAACATGTCTTTTATTGTTTCTCTAGAAAAAATGAAGATCAACAACAAGTGAAACAAAAAAAATCTACGTAAAAATTCCGCTCTTAATGTAATAATGTCTTCCGATATGTTAGAACTTGAAATTCTTTTTCCTCCTCACTTTAACCTCCCCCATGATTTAATTGACTGTTTTAACCAGATATATTTCTGTTCAAAAACGTCTTCTTTGCCAAAAGCATTTTAGTATTGACGACGACAGTAGCAACAACAAAAAATACACTATGCTCCAAAAAAGCAGCACTTAAATAAACGAACAGAAACAACAGCGAAAAAAAAAGATGCAAGTTAACTAACTAAATTGCTTGCTAACCGTGGAATGAAACATTAGAAAAATTTCATCTCAGTTTTTTTTCTTCTCAGTCTTCCGTTTTTTTTTAATTTATTTTTTGACAATAAAACAACAATAACGGGCAAAAAGAAAAACTGAAAAATACGTCCAAACAAAAACTCATTGCCTTCAAAAGATTAATAGCTAACATTAAGTTTTTCGCATAGTTGCTTTAGTTTTGAGATATCCTCAGTGGCCTGTTTCGCTTTTTCACTGAGCAACTGTAAGGTTTGCGACAGTTCTGCCTAAAACATAGCATACGTCAGAATCATAAAGTTGTTTTTCACCATTTTTTCTTCTGTCCTAAACAAATTTTGTATGGTTTCTGTGACATCATCGATTGTCCTCTTACTGAGCCATTAATTGATCAAGCATGGTTTGTTATTGAACATACAAAGAGCTAATTGAATTCAACTTCGAGTAGCACTTTATTGAAAGGAAAAGTATAGTGTCAGAAAGTTTAGTTTTCTCCACCTCTTCAACTTCCAACGATGACAACTTTGCTAACAGTACATTATGAAAGCAACAGCAACAACATCATAAATAAATAAACAAATAAAAACTGTTCAACAATGTTTGTTGCTTTCTGACGTTTACCATATTTGCCTGTTAAATTTGTATGTGTACATCTATGAATCTCATTTCGCATACATTTCACTCTAACCTCCTACTTCTTTTTGTTTTAACAACTAATGCATTTTTTGCTTCATTCCCCTCTTATATGAATGATATTTATCAATGCTTTCCTATTCCACATCTATGTTTTTTTTTTTTTGCCGAATTAAATTGATACATAACTAAGCAGCGATAGCAGCAACACAGAGGGATAAAGTCATCGGGCTTGATTAATTTCTGTTGTTATAGCTTTGTTTGACGCACGACAAAAACAACAACACCACCACTACCACCACTACCAACAGCATTACAACTACGATATGTGAAGACAGATGTCCAGAAATAAAAATATGAAGAACAAAAAAAAAAAGCTTCAAAATGAATATCAGCACACAGTTTGCTCTGCCTAATTTTCCCACTTACTCGACTGTATAGCCAAACCTTTACTGCATTATGAAGGTCAAAAAAAGCTGAAAAGAAAAAAGATATCTAATCAACAAAAATTCAACTTTTTATTTTTCATACTAAACTGCCCAAACTACAGACTTCCTCTGAAAGTTACGCTGAGGTTGTTACAATTCATTAAATTTACGCAACCTGTTAATTCTGCTTAGAAATCGGCTATTTTATCTGTTTTCTTGTCTCCTTTATCCCGCTTTCACGTCAACCATTACTCATGCGGAATGCTATAAGTGGCTTGTAATAATTTCTTTCCCTATAACTTGTTTATTTTTCCTGCCAGAAAAAAAGAAAAAAGGAGGTTACTTCCAACAGCGTTCTTAAATATATAAGAAAAGAAAAGTACGTAAAAAACAACAAAAAAAAAACTGTATTTTAATTTTATACAGTTCTGATTGGTTTTAATTTGCATTTCTTTTATTCGCCTCTGTCCGACTGTTTTAAATATGCCAGTTAAAAACAAGCCAACAATCATACAGACAGATAAAACAACTTTTTCTTTTCAACACTTTCTGATCTGACGCGAAAAAAATATTACAAATGTTTGCTGAAAACGCTATTCCGTAAACAACAAATGCTTCGGTTGGTCACTCGTTCCATCGTTTTTTCCAGCTTATATAGAGAATTCATTCATCAACCAATTGTGAGTGACCAAACAACTAAATTTGCAAATAGCTAAAATGCTGGAAGTTTAGTTCAACCATTTTTCTAAGTCTCCAAAAAAACATTAACGAATGAAGTATTTCCAACCAAATTGGAAAAAGAAAAAATGGCAAATCACTGGCTAATAACCCGTATTTGATTTTTGATGTTAGTGTACTTTTGAGCAAAATGCGCAAACCAATTCCTGGACTATTACTATTCTTAAAACAGAAACATCAGCAGTAGCAATAGTAGTAGTAGGATAAGTTATAAGATACATCGTTTGACTAGAAAGCTAGAACGAGAAATAACCACACAACCAAATAGCGATGTTGGATGATTAATTTGATTTTATTTATTAAATCTGTTGCTATTTTCAGTAAACATTTTTTTCCACTTCATTCAAAATATAACAACAAAAAACTTTTTTTTCTCATTTTTTTCCTGTTTATTCCGAACAATATTAAACCAACTTGTTCCCTACCCGAGTAGAAAAAAAGTAATAACGACAACAACAACTAAAAAAAATATTTTAATAACATTTTCACTTTTTTCCAACCTTTTAATCCAAAATTTAGTGACGCTGAACAGTTGTCATCTTTAAAAAAATTAATAAATTGATCATTTTCTTCCTTCCGTTTCTACCTACTTCTTCCTCCTCTTATACTCTCTGCAAAACTCGCCTACCACTTTCCCTCGAAAAAAAATTGTGGTAAGAAGCGCAGCAAAAGTGATGATGTTGACGATAAAGAAGGCAAAATTGAAAAATAATAAAAAAATGCCACTATTCATCTGGAAGACTTAAATATTAAAATGCTGAAAAAGCATTACAGTAATAACTATAGCACAAAAAAAATCTCAACTTTTTCCTCATATCTTTTCTGCTCCCCCTTTCTACCTCGCCATCAAAAGAAAGGAAAAAAAACTCAAGGCGAAAGGAAGACTTGAAGTTATTGAGAAGCAAAAAAAAAAAAAAACAGATCCCTTAACGTCGGTGTTTCATTCAACAAAAACTTTAATTTCATTGCTTTTTAAAACCTAACACAGCAGAATAGCATAAAAAGCAAGAAAAACCAGTTTATCTCAAAAAACTGCAGGTAGTTTAAGGTAATTGGTTAGCAATAATCTCTCCGTGTTTTCTTTAAAGCTTTTTCTTTTAATGGAAAACAATAAAAATAAGCAGTTGAAAATTCCCAATTTTGTTTTTTTTCTTTTGGTTTCTCTTTTGTTTTATTTTATTGCTGATGGTGCTGATAGCTTTTGCAGGCAGCTGAAAAATTAAAGCAATTTTTTTGATGGAAAATGCTGCACCATATGGCCAATTTTTTGGGCCGTAACTAATAGAGTGACAATTGGGATGGACATCGCAAGAAATGGGAAAGCACAACAGCAAATATGTAGATGTGGTCTTTTTTTTTCTGTAGTGCCCAAGTATCAAAACAAATAAAGCTCGCCAATTTGTGGCAGTACAATACTGCTATTACTGTTAAAAAGTGGTCTCATCGCAGTTGTTGTTGCTGTTGCTTTTGCTATTAACAATTGCTTTGAGCATTTCGGGTTATTTCTTTCTTCGATGACGACGATAGTTTGCGCTTCGCTGTAGTCTGCCTCTTATGTAAACGTTTTTAAGAGGTCTTAAAACATTTATCAATTAAATGCAATTATTCCATAAATTTTAACGTTTCTGAACAATCATTTGTTTCAGACCTCTTTAAAGACCTATCAAAACAGAAATGTTCACAACAGTTGATGAATTGCTGAGAAAGAATCCCAAACAAAACAATCAATCTTAGCTTTTATACTACAAAAATTGAGACTTGTTAGGATAAGAAAAAAAAATCCATAATTAGTACTTAAGAAAAGTAAATTTCTTCAGTCCCTTTTCATTGTTTTCGCCTATCCCAACAACTTCTGAATTGGTTAAGAAGTAAATGTTTTAAAAACGTGCGTTAGCAAAAATTGTTGCCCAAAGGCCCCCCTAAAGATTTTAACAATTCTAAATTTGTTAAAAGCAATAGTTACCGAAGATACATACCATATTCTTTCCCATCCCTATTGACACTAATGTATAAAAAGTCCTTCCGTTATATGACTAAGCAGAAACAAACTGTTTTTCAGTGTATCGTTATTATGGCTTCAAACCTGCTAATGATACTAAACATGGTAAAAAGAAACTGAATCATTTTCTTGGCATAGTTTTGTCGGCCGTATCGTTTCTCTTCAATTAGTTATTTTCTAAAGGTATATAAACAAACTCTCAATAAAAAAAATAAAAGCCAAAACTTACAAATGCTATAAAAAATACAACAAAAATATAATCGCCTGTGCGGATGAGAGCTAACCAACTAACACAATTAAACTTGGTGCTATTTCCACATTTAAGCCCCAGTTGGCACTACAATTTGCTCAGTCATACAAATATATTCACATGTATCACTGAATACTTTGCAAGAAATTTCTTTGAAAATTAATCTTCTTAAACAACACCATAACCATGCTTCCCCATCTAAAAAGAGAATGAAAAAGTCGAAAAAAATGCTTTTTTCTTCTTCCTCCCTCCTCTCTTCATAAAATAGTATATTTTTTGAAGAAAAATCAGTGAAGGACATGGCACATATGGTTATTTAAAAATGAATTACTACAACAAGCCCTTACCAATAATTACGTTCCCTGGAACATTATCTTTCAAAAATTGTATTTGCTGGAAACGCAATAACAGACAGAAATCAACAAATTTCCAAAAATACATTCCTGCTATATCTCTCGCAAACTCAAGCAAGGCAATCCCTGTCCTTCCTCTTCTTCACAGGTATAACAAACGTCTTAATTTGGGAAAGAATAAATAAATAAAAATAAAAATAAAAAAAAAAAAAAGGAAAACGGCAGTTTATAAGCTTATGCCACAAATACCCTAACTCTTTCAACAATCACCATCCTCGATTTAGCAGTTTTCGAATCACCAATATATAAACTAATACACTGAAAAGGCTAAATTTCTTCACACTATTTTCTCTTGCGCAACCCATAAAACAACCGATTTCATTTATGTGCCAAAATGACCACGACATTAAACCTAGTCAGCCTCATAAATTGAAAACGAAAGAAAAACACATTATCTGAAGAAATAGATATCCTGCTCATTTCCACCAGCTGATAAGCAATTCAATAATTTTTGTATCAATTAATATGCTGGACACATCGTCTGAAACCAATTAGGACATCTTTGACCCAAGCACAAAGTAATTAATGTCTTTTTAAACAATAATTTAGCTTTATAGCTGCAACAACATTAACAGCGGGTTCGATATTAGGTATATTATAAGAAAGTGGTAAAAAAAAGATCAAAAAACAGCTTTGTTGCCTTCAATTGGCTGTAAAATGTTGCTGTTATCAATAACAACCTACCATATACATTAATATATTGTAACGTAAATGAAAACAGTCCTCTTTTTTCGGAAAGTCTTTAACTTTGAACAAACAGCTGTGAAGAAAATGATCTATCTAAATGGAAATTTGTGCGTAT